CCCTCCCTCATTCACTCAGCAGCTGTTAATTGAGCACCTGTTGGATATCAGGCATGACGCAGGGGCTGGAGAGATAGTGGCCAGCTAACCAGATGCCATCCCTCCCCAGAGGAAGCTTGCAGCCCAGTGGAAAGACAGAAGGCCCACCCATATTTGTAAGGTTGCAACTGTGGCAGATCCGTGGCAGAGAGGGTAGAGAGCAGAGGACACCCATCCTAGAGCTGTTTGCCTTGATCAGGGGACTGGGTATGGCCTTTGGGAGGAAGGGGCACTGCACTCAAGGGAGAAAATTCTAACGTTTGCTCCTACTCGGCTAGTCATCTAATCTCTTGAGTCTTGCAAGTAAGACACATCCATTGCCCTAGCCTTGCTCCAGTGGCCTGGGCCAGTTAGGGACTGTCTGCCAGCCCTGCCAGGGGCTACCCCCCAGGCCTGCAGGAACCAGGCTTCCTCAGCCTGCTGGTGTGCCTTACCTGAGGGCTTTTACAGAAGCTACCCAGGCCCAAGTCCCGCCTGGACCAATTAAATCGCAATCCTGGCAGGGAAGTGGGGGGTGGAGTGGGAGGGGGGGCAGAGTCAGGCACCAGTAAATTAGCAAATCATCCCAGAGGATTCCAGTATGCAGTCAGGGCGGAGAACTGCTGCCTGAGATAGAGAAATGCCCTTAATCTCGCTTTGCCCCGTAATGATAATTTACATTTTTATGTTAAAACACGTGTGTGTGTGTGTGTGTGTGTGTGTGTGTGTGTGTGTACGGACCGTGGCATTGGTGGGAACAGCAGAGGGCAGGGATGGAATTTCGTGGGTTCTGGAGTCAGGCTGGCCATTAGAAGGCAGGCCCTTCCCAGGGCCAGGAGCGTTTGGTGCAGAGGTAAAAATGTGGCGCAATCAAAGACCAAGGCCCCATTTCCTCTCTTTCCTCCCCTCGCTCCCGCCTCTCCCACTGCTGCTCTCTCTAACCGCACACATTAGGAGGCTTTATAGGAAACCCAGAGCGCCTTTGAAGAAGCGCATTCAAGTCTTAGAGAATTTTTGTTGTTGCTTGCCCTTTAAAAAAATTTAAAAAAAGAAAAAACTATTGCAAGCACCTTATATGCAAATGGAATGAATGTATTTTTGTCACTAATGTTGAAAATATCCCCAGGCATCTGGCGTGTATGAATGTGTATACATAGTGCATGTGTAATAAACATATTCTACCTTATGAATATTTATACTCAACATACATAGATATTGTACATAGACACACATATGTAAATACTAGCCCTTGTAAACTATGCAAAGTGTTTCCAAGCATATGGATCATAGTGTATCACCAATAGAATAAACCTACCCCCAAGTGTAGTAGATAAGAAGTTAGCTTTTTTAAAGAGATGCTTACAACAGGATCTAGTTACTATCCATGTATTAGCATTGCTGAAATGCTTATGAAGTACCAACTAAAAGTAAGGTAGGAGCCCTGGTGGTGTAGTGGGCTGTGCACGGAGCTGCTAACCACAAGGTCAGTGGTTCAAAGCCACCGGCAACTGCCAGGGAGGAATGCAGTTGTTTATTCCCCAAAGAGTGACAGTCTCAGAAGCCCAAAGGGGCAGTTCTACCCTGTCCTCTAGGGTTGCTATGAGTTGGCATGGACTCAGTAATGGCATTGAGTTTGGGTTTTGAAAAGTAAGGTACTAGACATGGCAGCGCAAGAAAAATGAAATATATGGTTCTCTTCCCTTAGGGAGCAATCCTCTCAGAGTGGCTTAAAATCCAGCTCGGAAGGATTGAACACTGTTGGTGTTCCATTGGCACCTTGTGCCTTCCCTGGGCTCTCTCACTTATACAGCCCCCCACTACCTTACTGGCTGCAGTTTGAAATGGGCCCATTTAGAGCACCTGGAGGGAGCCCTGGTCGTCTCGTGGTTCCGGGCGGGGCTTGAGTCATAGATCAGCAGTGGAAACCACGTGTGCTCCCAGGGAGGAAGGGGGCTTTCTACTCAGGTAGAGTGGCCGTCTCAGAAATCCACGGGAACGTTCTCCCCGTTCTGTTGGGTTGCTATGCATCAGAATTGACTCCGAGGGAGTAAGTTGTTTTTGTTTGTTTGTTTAATATATAGCTATATCCCAAACATGTACCTTCATTTTTATCGCACTCTGATTTCTTTGGGAGAAAGCAAAACGACAGTAAAAAAAGGCTCCCATGTTAAAATGGTGAATTTTCTTACCTATAGACTGAACCCAATTATAATTTTTAAAAAAATTAAAAGTAAGGAACTTTTACTGAGAGGGAAGACAATTTGCAAATTGGAATTACAGAGTCCAGAGGATTCTGAAATAACTGATCCAAGAAGGAGACCATTCAGAAAAAAACATATTTTTTGGCTCTCTTTTTTAAATAAAAGTTTTATTGACATCTGATTTATGTGCCATACAATTCAGTGGTTTTATATACATACATACATACATATATATATATATACATATATATATAAAGAGTTGTGACATCTTTACCACAATCAATTTTAGAATGTTTTCTTCACTCTTGTACATTATTATTAGCTCCCCCTTTCCCCCCAACCCCCCTTGTCATAGCCCTAGGGAATTATTCATCTAGTTACTGTATCTGTTAATTAGCTACCAACAATGACAACAAAATAAAACACAGGAAAACCTCAACCCAAAAGAAAGCAGATGATAATAGAAAGTAGAACAAATTAATGGGTCGACAAGGAAAACAAATGATTGTTAAATTTTAACTCTATCTGCAGGAATCCATTCGCGAATGCACTGTCTGAGGCCAAGACTACTCACATCCGTAATCAATGGTCTGAGAAAGTTTAATGAAGGCTTAATCTCAGCGGGGACTCAGCAAATGGATTTGGGTTTTTTACTGTTATTCATAGTCCTCTGCAAACTGGGTGCTCAGAATTTAAACTCTATTAAAATTCTCTCCTCTGATTTTGGATTTTATTATTTACAGTCCTTGGATCACATGGGCTGGTGTGCTCCTTCTGTGTGGATTTAGAGGGTGCCTCACTCAGATGTTTGCTTGTTTTAAAGTAAGCGTTAAGACCCCATGCACTTATAGGTGGGTCTTTCTTAGGGTTGGGCACCATCTGATTTCTTCACCACACTTTACTGTAGCCACCCATATCTTCAGAGATCCCTTAATAAGAGCAAGTATTGATCAGGGCTACATTGTAAGAACTAATTGTTCTTAGATTAGGGCTAATGATTAGAAGTGAGCTTAAGAGCCATTTGTGTATTTAAAGTTTATATATACGTATTTCGGATTGTTGAGAAGCAATTAAGTAACTCCACGAGACATTTGGTAATTCTAATACTAGTATCATCAATCTAGCCAGCAGCATATAGATTTTACATGTACTATTGAGAAAAGGAAAATATGCATATATAGGAAAGCTTTATGGACTAAAATGCATGGGACATTCACTTATAAGGTTAAAAGGCATCAAATCCCATAGCTGTTCACAATCTCAGAAATGAAACCAAAGTGAGACAAGCAGCCCCTCCCACACACACCCCACCTGCAAACGTCTTGTCCTCCAGTTTGACGAGGCATGGCACTCCGCTCCCACAGCCCACCCCGGCCCCCGCACCCCCGCAATCAGTCAAAGAAGGCTTTATTAAAAACAGGCTATCTCTTCTGAAAGGTACAAACTAC